TCCTAAACCAAGTCTCACCGGCCTCTTAAGGACCCTTCCTTCCTCCATAGTCTGTGTCTGAGGCAATTAGTCATTCAATTCATACCCTAGGGTATGGACTATCACACCAGCTCTACATGCTGTGTGTGAAGAAGGGAGCCTGTTGCTGTGACCATGGTTCCACTCACATATCCCAAACCCTGGGGACAGCCATCCTCGCATCCTCCCCTGATCCCACCCTGCTGATGGCCACTAGTCCCCTTTGGAGGCCTGAGTCCCTACCTTTGGAGACCTTCACGGTTCACTGTTGCAGAATACAACTCCAATGTGAGTCCCCAGCCAGCTGGTCACTACGCACAGCTGGAAACACCTGCAGGGAGGGAAGAAGAGGCAGCGGGTAGACCCAGAGCCCAATAAGGAGGACATGGCAACTCAGAGAGGTGAGAGTCACTCAGCCAAGGTTTCCCTGCTGGGAAGGGCGGAGCCTTGAACCCAGAACCTACTGGCTCTACCCAGAACAACCGTCACACTGTCAGCACCAGCCTAAGGGGCTCAACACAGTGTGTGCAATGCAAGGGCCACACAGACCGTGGGGTGGCTCCCTGGACACTCAGCAACAGAGAAGAGCCCAGAAAACATCAACCCACAAGGCAGCGAGTCGGGGGACAGAAGATGGAAGAACTGCTTCAGAACCTTCCGGACACCAAGGATACACCCCTTCATATGATCTAGTCTTCCCAGCATGCATTGCTACTGTTGCTTTACAAAGTATGGAAACTAACCCAGTGAGATGGCTCAGCAGGTAAAGACACCTTCTGGCCAAGTCTGACACCCCGAGTTCAGTCCTGAGGACCCACACGGTGGAAGAGAAGTGAATCCCCACAATTGCCCTTTGACCTCCATACATGAACATGGATACATCCGTCACACACACACACACACACACACACACACACACACACACACACGCGCGCGCGCGCGCGCGCACACCAAATAAATAAGCAAATGATTTTTAAAATTAGAAACGTGGAAAATGAAATGGCCCACGTTTATAATGCAGACACTTGGAGAGGCTGGAGCAGGAGGATCATGGGTTTGAGGCTAGCTTGGGCTACATAGTAAGCCTGCCTCCAAGAAGCG